CGGGCGGGATCCGTCCCCGTCGGGTCGGGTCGTGACATTAGCATTGTACGAAAATCCGGCACGCAATCAGATAAGAGAGAGGGTGTGTAACATTTATAAGACACTAAGATTTTCACGTGGAAAACTCCTCAAAAGGGGGAAAACATGGAGCCTAGTCCAGTTTGAATGAATCAACTAGTATTGCAGTTGATTACAAATAAGGCCCTTCCTTAGGGGAATGCCTTAGTTTGATGTACATCTTATAGGGTACATTACATGTTGAGAATACAGAGGCATCACTGTTGACGTGTTCGTCTGGTTAGAAGGACCATAATTTGGTGACGGAGGTCATAAAGACCGTTGTCTAGCGACGGAGGTTGGAAAGATTGTAGTCGGTGGGCGACGTAAGTCAGAAGGACTGCAGTCGGCTTGCGACGTAAGTAAGATGAACTATAGTCGGCGAGCGACGAAGGTCGGAATGACTGTAGTCGGTGGGCGACATAAGTTAGAAGGATTGTAGTCGACGGGAGACAGAGGTAGGAAGGACTGTGTCATATAGAATCCAGCAATTGACAGAAATCCAACATCAAATATATGTATGGCAAAAATCTGACAACAGGCAGAAATATGACGTCGAGTAGAAACTTGGTGACAAGCGGAGGTCCGACGTCTGGTAAAAACTTGGCGACGAGCTGAGGTCCGATGTCAATTGGAGGTTGAGGGGAACTCCGACGTTACTTGGAGTTCGGGTGAAACTCCAACGTCACTTAGAGGTCGAGCGAAATTCCTCTGGTGTGACTTGGGAAGAATTCCAATTTCCCTTGTGCATTGGGAAGAATTCCGACGTCACTCGGGCGTCGGGCAGAATTCTGACGTCACTCAGGCATCGGGCAGAATTCTGACGTCACTCGGGCGTCGGGCAGAATTCCAGCGGTGGTTGTGGAGGAGTTCTTCCCTCCAACTTTTCTCCTCTTCTTCCTCTTCCTTCCATGCTTGCTCCCCCCCCCTCACAAGTGAAATGAGGGGTCTATTTATAGATTTCCTGGAGTGGCATAGCTTGTAAATAGGTGTGAGATCAAGGGCAGATAGGGAGTGGTCGAATAGATGGCTGATATCGAGTTAATCCCTTGATTGTGCACCGTTCATCACGCATTTGAAGGCCTTAATGATGTCAGAATTCTACGATCTTGGGCTCGTTGGATTTGTCTCATCGAGCCGCTCGATTTTAGTATAAGCTTGTCAAACTTGGAAACTGTTTGGTAACCTAAATTGTGGTATGAACTTTTCTACATCGCTTCGGGTCCTTGATTTGGACTCATTTGAGCTCGGATTGAGTTGAATTTGGTGTCATTGTGTTCGTATTTCCGAGACGCTCAGTTTGACTATAAGTTTACTAAAATCGGGGTTCAGGTGATCCTAGATTTAATTTTTGAAGTTTCCAAATTGATTTTTGCCTCGAGATTCGTGCCCGATCAAGATAATTTTTTGATGACATATCAAATATATATAACTGTCTCATATCCTAAAAAATTTATGATAGTAGAATAAGAGAGTTTATGTGAAGATTCATTTTAGAAATAATAAATGAAAATAGTATGAGTACAGGAAGGAGGGAGGGAGGAAGCAGGAGAGCAAGGAGAGAAAGAAGAGAGGAGATGAAGATAAATCTAAGATTTATTTTGCCTTCAAGCTTCTCCTTGACCACCGATTGTCGTTAGACTATCATCGGACTTACACCCAACCACCGATTATCGCCGGACTTCATTTGGTCCACCAATTATTGTCATATTTATGCCCGGCCATCGACCACCTGGCCACCGATTAATTTTTGACTTACGTCCGATCACCTATTATCGTTGGATTTCCTCCTAACAATCATCGCCTAATTATGATCTTTCCTACCATTGTTGTTAGATAACAGTCCTTTCGATCTTCGTCGCCTTCCTACCTCCATCGCCTAACAACGGTCTTTTCAACCTTCGTCGTCCGCTGATTACGATCATTTCGACCACTGTCACCCGAGTACAGTCCTTCCGACCTCCATTGCCCACCAATTATGGTCATGCTGACCAAACAAACATGTCAATGTTGATTCTTCTAATTCCCGGCCACCATGTAATGCACTATATATGATGTATATTTGTTATATCAAGCCAAGACCTTTCTTTCAAGGAAGTGCCTCATTTGTAATCAACTGCAAACACCATTGGATTCATTCAAACTAGGCAAACCCCGTGGTTTTTCCCCCTTTTTAAGGGTGCATGTAAAAAATCAGGTGTCTCATATGAATGCCACACCCATCTCTTTTATCTTATTGTGTGTTGGATATTCGTATAAAACTAAGACATTACACTTTATATTTCTCTATTGCCGCAAATATTTCAGGGCGGAACAACCTTTAATTCACATCAATATTCTTGCTTAATCATATTAATTTCTATGTGACATATCAAACTCATAAGTGCTCATTTGATTACTTGAGTTTAGAAAAAATAAACAAATTTATAATTCATTCAAATATAATTAAACTAAAACAATTTTTTAAAAATTATGTGATTTTTTTTTTCAATATTTAAATTATAAAACAAGCAACTTATATTCATGATGTTGAAAAAATAATCCTTTTCTTCAATATATTAATAGGCACAATTATTCTTTTATAATTTTTTATTAAATAGCAATCCATAACTTAAAAAATTAACTTAATCATTTCGATTGGTTCTCTACCTTTAGCAGGGAGAGTTCAAATTAATTACTAAATGAATAACTAAACTAATCCTAATTGCACAACTAATTATAATTACCAATAATTAGTACTTGTTTATAAACTAATTAATTTTCTTAATCCCCACAATAATGCGTCAGCTCGCGTGCTCCATTATGGCTACATTCATAAATACCAAAGGAGGAGCTGAATTCATTGCTTACGTATGTGCTAATCAATGCTTGAAATAGGCATAATTTCTATTAGAATAAGTCCACCAAAGTTACAGAACAAATTCTAAAGAAAATTAATTGAAATTTGACTTTAGGGTGTTTGAAATATGAGAAAAAATAATGGCATTTTAATAACACATAAGCTTAGGATAATTCCAAATAAAAAAAATTAAAAATATAATGAAAGTGATTAATTCTAAACGACGAGAGAGAATAAAATACATACACATCTAAAAAGAGATATGGAGGGAGGTAGAGAATAAAATACATACACAACTAAAAAGGAGAGAGAATACGAGAAAAGTGAAATGCCACCGTCAAATCCGATGTCAGTGCCAAAGCTGTTGTCAGACTATTTTTGTCGAGACGACCTTAGGAGAATAGCATGTGGAAGTAAATGTAGTTGAGCGGAGCTGGAATTCACGATGGATTTACGTTGAAGAAGAGTGGAGTGGAGCGGAGAAGATAAATCGTGGGATCAAGGAATATCAACAGGAAATAAAAATTAGGGCTTATAGCAGAGTAGTCATGAGAGCAGAGGAAATAACTTTAAAATTCTTTATTTTACACCCCTACTCGTCTGTATTATTTATTCTATCTGATATATCATCAAAATCATGCCGGAAACTTCAAAAATTAAATCCGGGATCAAATGAACTCCGATTTCAGCAAACTTAACAATCTTACTGAATGTATCGAAAATACGAATCCAACGACACCAAATTTGACTCAATCCGTGCCCAAATGAGTCCAAATCAAGGACCTAAAGCGTTGTTAGAAAGTTCGAACCACAATTTGAGTTACCAAACGGTTTCCAAACATAATGTGTTTATAGTCGAATCGAGCGGCTCGACGAGACAAATCCAACAATTCTAAGATCGCCGAATTCCAACATCATTAAGGCCTTCAAATGTCTGACAAACGGTACAAGATCAAGGGATTCAATATCAGCCGTCCATCCAACAACTCCCCATTTACCCTTGATCTCTCACCTATTTACGGGTCATGCCATACTAAAAAAACTATAAATAGCCCCTCATTTCTCTTGAAAATGGACCAAAGCAAGAAGAAGAAGAGAAGAAGGAGAAGATAAGAGAATAAGAATAGGAGGGAAGAAACTCCTCCTCGACTATTGTAGGAATTCTGTCCGACGCCCAAGTGACACCAGAATTTTGCTTGACGCTCAAGTGACGCTGGAATTCTGCCCGACGCCCAAGTGACGCCGGAATTCTGCCAGACGCCCTAGTAATGCAGAATTCTGCCCAAGTAACGCCCAGAATTCTGCCTGACGTTTAAGTAACGTCGGAATTTCGCCCTATTTTTCAGTGACGTCGAAACTTTGCCCGACTTTCTCGTGACGTCGAAACTCTGACTGATTTCCAAGTTACGCTAGAATTCTAAGTGACTCTGAATTCACCTAGAATACACAATCTGTTTGTAATTGGATTTCAATCCGGAAGTGAAGCATTGCAATCTGATCGTCCTAAATTTTAAGGACCAGTCAGACTCTTGTACCTGAAGCAAACACTAATGAAATTATTTCAAATGTGCGTGACCCCGTAGTTTTTTCCCTTTCCAAGATTTTCCACGTAAAAATTCTGATATTTTTTATTTCTCTTCTGTTTGTGTGCTGGATATCCGTGCAACGCTGAGACGAAAATTTTCTAACTCTATCGCCGCGTATATTTAGTCCGCAACACTATCAATTTTATTTTATTTATGATTTTGTTCTTTTTTTTTTTTAATTATTATTTGCGAATTTGTGTGCGGTTGAGGGGCGCAACCGGGGACGTACTGGTTGTTAAGTGGACTGGGGAACAGCAACGTCTGACTATGCATGAATGATTTGGTGAGCTCTATTCGCATGCGAGCAATTAATATCAGCCATCTGATCTCAAATGGCCGCCCCAAATGCTTGGCCTGAGCATGGCTGATTGTGATGATTTTAATTATTATTTATTTTGGCTTGTGTGTGATTTAATTATAAATATGAATATATTAGCAGTTGTGATGATTTTTACCAAATAATTTTTCTCAAACATAAGGCTCTATATTGGGAGAAATTATTTTGTACGGATGCTGAACGTAGCTCTACATTCAGATATTAACTAGAATGAGTCACCTCAGCGGTATCGAGCTGCGATATCGAGCAGTACTGAACCGCGATACCGACATGACACATTTGGGTTGATCTTTAGATGAAATTCAACGTCCACACATAATAATTTCTCCGGTGTTGGAGAAAAAGTTTTCTTTTGGTTGGCTAAAAAAATGAAGTGTAAAAACAAATATTTTAAAGTTATTTGAATCAGTGCAAAGTAAATGTAGATGAATATATATATATTTTTTTGTTTAATTTAAAATAAAATGAATTTAGTGTGAAGTTCAAATATGATGAAGTCCAGCAATTGGCGGCGGCGTTCCGCAGCAACCGGTGGTGGTGGTTGCCATCGGCAGTGGGTGGCAATGACAGTGGCGGCCAAGAGGTAGCAACAGTGGCCAACAAGTGGCAATGGTCAAGCAAGCATGCTTGCAATGTAATCAATTTTTGTTTAAAAATGAGCTAGTTTAATTTACCTCAAAAAAGAACTAAAAGGATTAACACTATATTTATTTTACTTTGCATTCTTTTTTTCTTTAAACCAAACAGCAATATTTTTAAAATTGATGTATTTAAAATATTTTACACTTATTTTACTTCCAACCAAACAATCCCTAATTCCTTCAATGCTCATACATTAATGCCCCCTTCCTGTAAAGGGCTTTGTTTGGATTGATGGGTAATTTATATTCTGAAGTAAAACTTATTTCCTAAACTATATGGTAATTATGAAACAAATTAGTAATTAGAAGAGAAATATTTCGTGCACCACAACGACACCAAAGAGAAGGAGAAGAATTTGTTAATATGAAAATTCAGGAGCACCGACTATCCATCAACTTACTAAATTCGAGGAGACTGATGCTTCGTTTGGGACGGTTTTTTTATTACTTTTTGAAGCAGCTTTCTAGTACAAAAAGTTTAATTTTTATACTAAAAGGCTGCTTCAAAAAGCAGGAAAAAAGCTGTCCCAAACGAAACCTAAGGCTTCATTTGGGACGGCTTTCTTGATGCTTCTTAAAGCAGCTTTCTACTACAAAAAATTAATTTTTATAATAGAAAGCTGCTTTAAGAAGCAACAAAAAATCTTCCCAAATGAAGCCTAAGGTTTTATTTGGGACGGCTTTCTTAATGCTTCTTAAAGCAACTTTCTAATATAAAAATTAATTTTTTTGGTACTAGAAAGTTGCTTTAAGACAGTTTAGTTTGGGACGGCTTTCTTATTGCTATTTAAAAAATTAGAAATTTTTATCAAAAAGTTGTTTTAAGAAGCAGTAAGAAAGCCATCCAAAACGAAACCTAAGCTAGAACAGGGGACACCCCCCCCACTAAGCATTATATGGTTCCGCCACTGATCCCAAACGAAGACTTTCTTAATGTTTTTTAAAGCAGCTTTTAGTCCCAAATCAGCCTAAGGCTTCCTTTGGGACGGCTTTCTTATTGCTTCTTAAAACAATTTTTAGTAAAAATTTAAAAAATTTTACTAGAAAGTTGCTTTAAGAAGTAGTAAGAAAGCCATCCCAAACGAAACCTAAGCTAGAACAGGGGACAATGGAGACTAAGCTAGAACTGGAATATATCCTGGATCAGCCGTGGGGAAGAAGAAAATTACAGCACAAACAGATGTGCAATAACTTCCATTATATGACAGAAAATTCAAAATAGTTTCTTATTGCAACAATTTGCAGGTACGCATAAACTGATTTCTCAAATATAAGGTGCTTAGTTCAACTTAGCTCACGCCATCACAAAATTTTTATTAGAATTAAATCGATAGATGTTCTGTAATTAAGAAGCCTTCATGTCATCAAGGCCACAACTAGCCTGCAGAAGAAGAAAACCACAGCTAATTATTCTGCACAAACAGTAATGGACAAGCAAAGCTATAGAATGTTACCAGAAACTTGTGTATTTCTGCAAGCAGAGGAGCAAAAGTTGAGCAGAATTTCTCTATATCAGCATTGAGGTCTCCACTGCCTCCAATAACCTCCATGAACTTCTTCCTATCAGGAGCGAGCTTCATGGCGACCTGTAATTTGTTGAGTAAACCAGTAAGTTTATTCTTTAATGGAAACCTGCAGAAAAATTTCTAAATTTGCTTTTAATTGCACTGGTCCTTACATATTATGCTGACCATGAATGATACATGGAATTTTATTTATTTTTTTCTTTTTTTATGGGCAGGTGTTTAACTTGAAATCAACCTCAACATGTCAGCAGGAAGTAAGAAATGGCTTTGAAATTAGTGTAGTTGAGCTTGTTACCCTATCAGATCATCAACTGAAATTAAACTCTGATGAGCTTATTTGGAATCTTGAGCCTTAATCTAGGTGACTAGGTCAGCTTAGCCTAACCGAGACCAAACCTCATCAACCGTAGTCTAGCTAGGACCTACCCCTAGAGTTGACTTAGCCCTGACTTGGCATTGGTGGATTAATTATTTTGTGCGGACGCCGAACGTCGTCCGGAGATTAACCAAAATGCGCCACATCACCCCTATGCTTGGTACCGCGGCACAGTACCGTTGACGTGACACATTTTGGTTGGTCTCCGAATGGTGTTATGTGTCCGGTCTCCACACAGAATAATTTCTCCTATTGGTGACCCTATAATTTAAGGTCAACTATCCTGTAGTAGTTAAGGTAAGTCCAAATATCGAGTTAACAACATTCTTCACTATAAACATAAAACCATTTTTATTATGTTTATGGTTTGATAATCAGAATGGGGAGTAGATGCGTATCCATACAAAAACAACAACAACATCAAGCTTGTATCCCACTATGTGGGGTCGGCTACATGAATCCTTTTTCTCCATTGTGCCATGTTAAAAGTTTTTTTTTTTTTTTTAAAGGCTGCAACACGAGGACTTCCCAGGAGGTCACCCATCCCAGTACTACTCTCTCCGATGCACTAGTGCTGGTATGTTCGCACCCAATGTTAAAAGTTAAATGCTCATTCAAATCTAATAAAGAAATGTTATTTCTAATATTTTCTAACCAATTCTTTTTATGTTTACATTTACCCTTCTTAACGTAAGTCAAATCTAATACAGCTACTTTCCTAATCGGGTCATCGGAGGCCGCTGTTTTATGTGACCAAACCATCTAAGGAGACTCTCTAATCTTATCTTCCACTGGAGCTACTCCAACCTTTTCACGTATATGATCATTTCGTATCCTGTCTCTAAGAGTAAAGCCACTCATCCACCTGAGCATCCTAATCTCTGCAACACTTAACTTAATATTATGCTTCTCTTTTAATGGCCAACATTCTATACCATAAAGCATTGCATGTCTAACCACCATCTTATAGAATTTTCCCAGGAGTTTGAGGGATATACAAGCAAAGTAAATTTTAAAGTATGATTGATGGTGTAACTCATGGTTTAGTCTTATCTATTGATGATCAACTAAGTGTTTATTTTTATAACCAGCTCAATTTAAAAGAGAATGATGGAGTTACCGTAAAGGCTGAACTTGCTAGCCAACCATGCCACTTTTTGAGAGTCTTGTTGTAAGAATCAGAGCAGGCTTGTGACATGGCCCAGTCAGGATGCTCAAGTAAGTCACGAAATAGTTCCACCAAGAAATCCATTGCTCTATAGAAAGGCATTTGCTAAAACAGATTTAGGCTTTGCAATTCCATAGAAATAAAAAAAGAGAGCGGGGATGCTGAACCTCGTAAGCCACAGAAGGCCATTAGTGCAGCTTGATGAAGACTTGGCTGTTTTGGTCTCAACTTCTACTTGAACAAAAGTGTAGAGATATTTGAATTTTGAGGGATCAGTATTATATTTGTTCTCAAGTCTCTGCAAGAGAACGTTTGGCAAAAAATTAAAACATATTTTATCATTAGGGGTGTCAATTTTTGACACGACCCGAAACACGACCCGAACCCGACCCGGAAAAATCCGGGTTAGGTCAACCCGGACCCGAAACGGGTCGGGTTCAACAAATCAACCCGTTTTAAAAATTGGGTCAGGTTCGAGTTGACCCAGCAACAAAAAAATGACCCGAAATTGACACGAAAACTCCTATTTGACTTGGAAACCCGAGATTGACCCGTTTTTTACCCGATTTTGACACGAAAATTGAAGATTAACCCGATTTTTGACCCGAAAACTAGCAATTTTAGGTCAACTTCGGGTCATTCGTGTCGGGTTGTGTTCGGGTCCGGAAACATGACAAGCTTTTAAAAAAATGGGTCGGGTTGACCCGAACAGTTCTGGGTTCGACCCGAACCCGACCCGTTGACCGAATTGACACCCCTATTTATCATCATAAAATAATGATCAAATGTTGCTGCAACAAAAAAACCACTTAAAAAAAAGAAAAAGAAAGATTGGGCCAAAGATATATAATCAAAATCTGCACAAGTTCTCTTTAGTTTCAACCATACATTCCATAAACTAAAAAGATTTAAAAAGAAAAATAGCAATCATATAAGGTTTCATTTGGAACGGCTTTTTTACTACTTTCTAAAATAACTTTTAAGTACAAAAATTTCTTATATTAAAAAATTATGTACTAAAAAGTTGTATTATAAAACAGTAAGAAAGCCGTCCCAAATGAAGCCTAAAGCAATTCCTAGTGAGTTTACGAGTAATCAATTTGATAATTAGTACTTACTGTTATGTTACCCCCTATGTCCGATTTAACAAGTGCCAAAGCTGCTCCAAATTTATCTGTAGATCCACATAGCAAAATCACAAAATGAGCAATGCATTTGAAAAGGGATGTTCAATGCTTGCTCTAGACATTTCAACAATAATAAAATCAATAGAAGCCAAAAGAAAAGAGTACTGTAAACATTTAAGCTGACACACATTAGGAAAAAGTGCATGATCAGTTTTGCTGAAGCGCAATCATAACCTGTTAAAAAGAAGAAGAAAATGTGCTCAAGATGTTTAACAAAATTTGTAGGGGGTGATGGTCTGATGCTAAAAACGTATAACACGAATTCCTGAAGATGCATACAAGACTAGTGGTCATCCAATATTACAAGAAAAATCAATTAACCAGATTATTTCAACTAATGACTTCTAAAGCTGTAAATTTGCTCAAGCAATATTTACTAGAATAACACACAAAATTGCTCATATAACACATCCAACACCTTAATATTGGATTAATATTTCACGTAAAGCACCTGGTGCCCCTTACCAATCTAGCATACTGCCACATGTTGTCAGAGATGTTTAAAATTTCCCTTCTATTCCATAAGTGATGTTAGATGCTCATTTTCAAAGGAACAAATTATAAGTCACAAATTACTTTAACAGCTTACTTTCTTTAAATGTAAACTAATGATACTGAAGTAAAAACAAACAATACTGAGGAGTCAGAGGAATTGGAAACTCATAAAATCAACAACAACAACAACAAAAACATCAAGCCTTTATCCCACTACGTGGGGTCGGCTACACGCTCCATTGTGTCTTCTTAAGAGTCAGCTTCTCATTTAAATCTAATAAAGAAAGGTCATTTCTAATAAACCTGCAATGAAAATATTAGTACTGACACCCATATTGCCCGATTTACATGAATGCGAGGTGACAAAACTTATTTCGAGACACATAAGAAACGAGAAATTCCACTAGGAATCTATTCACATTTATTTTCTCTTTATATCGACTTTTTTTTCTTAATTATTAATTTTATTAAAAAAGAAAAAAAAATCCCCATCCCTATATCCTGTGCCAATTTGGCACCTTGTACTCATGCCCCATCTGTCGCATGCCTCTTCCAGTCTTACAGCCAAACCCATCTGACCCCTTTACAAGAAAAAAAAAGGAGAGGAATTTCTCCCTCATTGATCAGCCTGCTTACACAACACTCGCCTGCTCACATAAACTGTCTCCTCTCAACGCACAGCTCGCACTCCCTAGCTCACTCCACTCTACCTCTCCATTCTCCTAGGACCAACAAACTCTTCTTCCTCCTCACTTCTCTACAAATACACCGAGAACCCCAGCTCCGACTCACCTCCCTCCTTCACCCAACCGAGCTCCCCAGCCTCACCATGCCTGACGAAACCAGCCACTAACCCCTAACAAGCCGACCAACCGACCCTCTTCTCTCTTTCTCTATGAAACTGTACATCTCAACCCTTTTCCAACCTCAACCTATTCCAAACCACTCATGACCCCAACAATGCCGGCCCCACCCTCTTTCTCCACCTCTAAGTCATTCTCTCTCTTCATATCTTTCTCTTGCTACACCACTCTTAAGTCTTTCTCTTTCTCATCTTCTCTCTCGACCATTCTGCTCTCCTCTTTCCACCTACCTTCCTCTCTTTATCTCTAGATAAAGAAGCTCTCTTATCTCTATAAACTCTCTCTCTCCCTTCAATTTTAAAAAACTAGAGAAAACAAAAAACCCTTCAATTTTAAAAAACTAAAAAAAAAAAAAAAAAAAAAAAAAGCAAAAAGCAAGCTATCAGTGTGCAGGCTATAACATGAAAACTTAAAATTTAGTACATATGTGTGTTGCTCTAACACGGAAGAAAAATGCAAAATATGCATTCGTTCATGTTGTTTCAACGTGGTAGAGAAATTTTATATTCTATAATTCATGTAATGAAGGCCTATATGTTTTATTTTTTTTGGCGTGATGAGGTAAAGGACTCTGGCCCCAATATCTCTAATGATGGACATTTTCTAAGCGTGATGGGAATGCCTGACTGATGGGGACATCAGATTGTGGAGAGTCTATCAGAGACGTGACTAAGCGTGATGGGAATGCCTAACTGATGGGGACATCAGATTGTGGAGAGTCTATCAGAGACGTGGCCGTCGATCTACGATCATGATTGAGTCATTGTATTTCTGAATTGTTTTATGTATTTTCTTATTTATGATGTCATATTGTATTTGCTTTATTAGTTTCCCGTTGTACCCTTTTATTAATGGAAGTCATATGTAAGCCCTAGGGACATTGTAGTCCTTTTGTTTTTTTGAGTCTTTGTACGAGGCTATTTATAGCCCTAGTGTTCTCCTGTTAAAGCTAATGAATGAATGATTGATTACAAATTTTTCTTCTCTTTGTTTGAGTTCTCTTTAGAGCTTCAGAGTTTGGAGTGAGATCCCTAGGAGATGGAGAATTGCGCATCACCCACCAACCTTGACGAGTCGGGTTCATGGTTTTATTATCTATCTTGTTTTTTTTCCCCTCCACCGCCGGCTCCACCTTCCTCTCTCCCTCCCACGGCCCAAAGCTCCACTCGACGCTTGAACCTCCGGCCCCTTCTTCCCACCGTCCCCACCTCCTTCCTCTCGATGCCCCACCACCACCACAACCACCAGCCCACCCTCTTCATCAAGCCGCCGGCCCCCCACCCCTCTTCCCCTCTTTGAATTATTTCCTAAATCCCCACTTTCCTAATTTATCCCAATTGATTTTTGGAAAGAATTTGAATTGGAAATAATTCAAATTTAATTCCCTATTCTTTCCTAAGGCCTTGATCTTATTTTTGGAAAGAAGCTTAATTGAATCAATTAATCCAAATCTGCATTAATTAATTAAATCCTCCTATTCCATTAATCCTATTTTGGGAAAGGTTCTTTAATTAAATCAATTAATTTAAACCGAAATTGATTGATTAATTATTGTCTTAACCTAAGATACATTGCACCTAGTCTCAAGCACCCCGCCCTCTCTACTTGGCCGAACCCCCCATGCCCCACATATTAATTTCTTTCCAAAAATAAAGCTTCTCCTATTGGGATCAAATCAAAGCCCCTCTCCTCTCTCCTACCCGCCCCCTCCCTCATCCCACAGAAGAGTGAGCGCATCTTGGACACCTTGGTAGAGGCTATTGAAGAGCAACTTGGTACCGCCCAGTGAAGGATTACAACCGATCCTTGACGAAGGTCTTCTAATCTTCCTCTTCTTGTATTTCTTAAAGTCTAACCCTCTTCCTTGTGATTTGACATTAGTCATGAAGATCGTGTTCGCCTAACTCTGCCGAGCTAGTAAACGTAGGGATTGAGTGCACTTCATTTGTTTCTAATCTTATTATTATATTAGGAATTTTCGTTGAAAGCTGTTATATTTGCATGTTGATGATTTTCTATGTTATTTTGATGATTCAAAACTCTTATTGTGCAACTTAGCCTAAAAAGAAGTGACCGCTCTTACGTTTTATTTTGTCATTTTAGTTGCTAATATTTTTAATATTTATTATTATAATCAATAAATCGTGCAAGTTCTTTTCAAGTTATTGAATACATTGTAGTCCTATATCATCTTGTATCAGAGCATGGTATGCTCTTATTGCATGTATTAGGATCCATCGTAGAGTTCTCTTTTAGCATTTTACTTTGTTACTCTTTCCATTATTGCATTTGTTTCATTTAGAAATTGATAGGTTGTTGTCCTTACTTTTTTCTGCACTCATTTTGAATCATAAGTGTGTTTTATTCATATTATTTGCTGTCATTTGCATCCTAGTCACCGTAGGTGTCCCGTAGTGAACTCCAATGGGCCTGAAACAACTTGGTAGGACTTTAGACTTGTTGGTAGGTCAAATAAGCAATATTAGCCATCAACTCAAAAAGAACCAAGCCGAACTTCATAGAGACACCACTGAGCGATTTGACACACTTGAGCGAGCAAGAGAGCATCCTACCCCTTGCACCCCATCTAGACCACCTTCTATGTATGGGGATGACACTTACCCGGATGAGAGGCAATATAGTGCCAATCATCGAGTTCTCCATCTTGGACATGACCCATGTCATGATCCTGATATACCACTCATGAAAAATATTAAAGTTGATGCTCCTACCTTTGATGGCACTCTTGATCCCCAGCTCTTGCTGGACTGGGTCAAAGTATGGGCAATTTCTTTAAGTGGTATAATATCTCCAAGGCTAGAAAGGTTAGTTTTGCGGAGATGAAACTCACGGGTAGGGCATGTTAGTTTTGGGCTAAGTTGGAGAGCCTTAGGGAAGCTAAGAACGATTACCCCATCATTGATTGACCATCCATGAAATGAGAACTCAAGCAGAAGTACTTGCTTCCCTCGTACTTCCCCGATTATTGGATAGGTGGAATAGGCTGACTCAAGGCAACAAACCAGTTAAGGAGTACATCACCTCCTTCGATGACTTTCTGATTCGCTGCAAAGGGGAGACATCCCGAGCCGTTCACATGACTCTAGGCCCTTCTACAGACCGTTTGGTAGTTCCACTCCTCACACTCCTGCTGCCAGACCCACTTCTGGGAGCACAACCCGACCACCCACGGGTCCTCCTGCACCTTGATTTGATTTTAGGACTAAACCTTCCACCCCGGATACCCCTCGGTCCAGTTCCGGGACCAAGTGTTTTCGATGCTAGGGGTATGAGCATATCGCTTCTCAGTGCTCCAGTCCTTATAAGGTCTCGATCATTGAGGAGATTACTAAGGACGATCTCGAGCAAAAGGTTGATCAGATCCACCAGGTCGAGGATGAAGGTAAGTTCTTCGAGGAGGATGACGACACTATAATCCTCTATTGCCTTCAGAAACTGGATACCTCTCCCATCTGCGTGGTGAGATGTGCGCTATCACACCAGACTCACACTGACCACTGCCGTAGGACCGCGATTTTCCACACCTACACCAAAATCAAAGATAAGAACTGTAAGGTCATCGTGGATAGTGGTAGCTGCATAAAGGTTGTTTCTTCCAGCATGGTATC